TTTGAATGAACTGACCATAGCAACTACACACAAAACTCCAACAACAGATGCAAAGAACAAAGTCTAGAGGGAATGCAAGACTTGCTCTGTGTGAGCAATAAGCTGCTTTTTATTTAAGACTCACTGTGCTAAAGCAGCAATACTTCACACAAACAGGTCCATATGGCTTATTCTCTGGATATGAAAAAAAATTGCTATAAAGCAAACACATTTCTGAAAATAGGAAATAAGGATATACAAAAAATTGTAGAATAAGAAAATTTAATCAGCCTTTGGGGTATATCACCCTACTCTAGAAAGCATCTAGAAATGAAATAGTTTTTTAAAAAGTAAATTTCTAGAACTAAGTAGCTTTTATTAACTCACTGAATTTTAATTCTTATTTCAAGTTGTACTTCCATATATATCAAGCAAATACAGTGGTATTATACAAGCTTTCTAAAATTTCAAGCAACAGGTTCCTGAACACACTTGCATGTATAATGACATAGTTTAATGGAAGACGGTGTGGAACAGCAGAGAATGAAGAACAATTTAAAGATTTCCCAAAGACAGATGATTCAGGTGTCAAAAAATAAACAGACATAAAAAACCCAAGCCCAAAACATTCTGGTTACCTATAAAAGACTTCATGGCAGTGTCCGTTAACCACCTTTGCTGAAAATACAGAATGTCTCCTAAAATCTGTCAAATATTTCAAAGGATGACAGATCAGGTATTCCGCAATTACAGAAACTTGTTCTAGGAAGGGACATAAAACACTAATCATCAAGTATACAGTGTCCCAAATGAGACAGAAAATTTCCTTTCCCAATATCTTGAAACCTGTCTGCCAGGGAAGTACTTAGAAAAAAAGTTACTACATAATAAAAGACACTTCTACAGCTCACAAAATGATACACAGGACACCTTGGAAAACAAAGACTGATCTAGAGCCAGAAGGAAAAAAAAATGAGAGGGAACAGTTCCGACAACAATTTCAATTTGTCAACCAAACATTATGTATAGAAAAGTCAAATTAAGGGTTCTCTGTGAACAGTATTTCTTTCTTTTCAACATCCACCAGACACATGGTTAGTACGCATCAGGCTGCACAGACTTTAGAGAACAATAATTGGTGAAGTGGCTGGCAACGTACTCTAAGATCCTATTGTTGTCCCACTTGCTTACTTCAAAGAAGTTTATTCTGTGAGAAAACATTAATCTTTCCTGTAATTAGTGCTAAACTGTCCAATCACAGAAGAAATAATGTCTTCTAATCGCTCAAGACATGGAAGATTAATGTGTTGAAGATTCTCAGTGATGGATTATTACACTGTTAGAAACAGAGTTAAAAGATGGTCAGACCCTTAGAACTACATATGACAGTCCTGGCTTTCAAATACATCAGAGACTTGCAGCAAATAAACCTAGATTTCTAGTCAAAAATATTAACCAATTCATTTAAATATTAATATGGTCCTTTTTAAGTATATGTGTGCATATATGTATATGATGACATATCATTGCTATCCAATAACAAGCCCTGACTCTTACTTTAGAAAGCAAATAGAACTGTAAAATGTTTCATTTGCATTCTACCACTTCAGCATCAGCTAATAACCACCACATATCAATTTTTAACAGCATACAGACATGAGGTTTTTGTTTTGAAGACCAAAAGTTCTGTAGTACCAAGTGTCTTGCAAACAACATACATTCACAAAGAACTAAAGCAATGAATGAACATGAGTTGTTGTACACTCTCCTACATGTAAAAAGAGCTGCACTTCACTCCAAAAGTAACTGAGTCATACATAGACACTATTAATACAGTATCTTAGAAAGTTGACGTAAGTTGAAAAATTCATAGGCTACTGCATTTGGCAGAAGAAGGGATGTGGAAGACTACAAGTATTATCAGAGAGTCCCCCTCACAACAATAAGCACAAATATCACTAATGACACTTCCATCCAGCCAAACCCATTCAGGATTCAGAGCCCTACAGCCTTCTCTCACCTTCAATTAGGAAAAGCAACCATTTGCCATATGACCTTCACAAAATGTTGACATCCACTTAGTTCATATTTGAACGCTGGATTCTCTTTTTCAACCCCATTGTTATTATACCTTTTAAAATCTACTAAGTGGCATTCTCATCAGACTTTTTCTTATATTCTATTTCACTTATCCTGTAAGATCTGACTATTACTCCTAGATGGTCTTTCATGTGGGCACAAATGACACCAAGGAGGTAGTGGATCAAGGGTTGGACTTGATGATCTCAGAGGTCCCTTCCAACCCAGTTGATTCTATGATTCTATGAAGGGTAACTAGGAACCATCAAACTCAATTTCAGGGCTCTGGAGATGGTGGCCAAGGGTCTGGAAGCCCAGGTAGTGTTCTTCTTGGTTGTGCCAGTTAGGGTAAATGATGAGAGAACTAGCTGGATTTACAAAGTAAACAGCTGGCTGTGTCACTGGTGTTGGCAACAAGATTTTGGTTTGGGACCCTGTTTGCTGATTAGGAGAGACAGAACCCACCTCATGAAACGGGGCACACGAGCCTTTGTTGACAGAATGGCCAACCTGGTAAAGTGAGCTTTAAACTAGGAAAAGTGGGGAAAGGGAAGAGGACTATGGGGCATCCCCTTGCGGCCCTCTTGGGATATCGACACATTCAAATACCTCTATAAAGTGCCTGTACACCAATGCACACAATATGGGGAACAAACAGAGGGGATTTGAGATGTCTGTGCAGTCGCAAGTCTTTGATCTCACTGCAATTACCAAGACACGATGGGACAGCTCACACAACTGGAATGTCGCAGGGAAGGGCTACATGCTGTTTAGGACACACAGACCACGAAAGGCGCAGTGGTGGAGTTGCCTCTATGTGAGGCAACACTCGGAGCGTACTGAGCTCAGTCTTGGGGAGTTGAGAGCTTATGGATATACTCTAAAGCCTAATCAACAAGAAGGGCGATTTACTCTGTAAAACAGAAAGCAGCTAATAAGCAAGCTCTAAGTGATGCCCATGTGTTAGAAAAACAAATTACTTGGCAGATTTTTCTAGTTAAGGTATAGGGCTTGACATGCTTCAGTGATCTCAGACATAGGGGGAGGTTAACACAGCTTGGGAAGAAGGATGTACCACTGAAAGTGGACACAAGAATGCAGAATTTATGGGCCACAAAGACATCTGGCAGAACTCCCAAGAAAAGGATAAACCCAACTCAGCAACTGTGCTGAAATCAGCTCAAGCTGGGTAAAGGTAATTCTGGCAGGGGGAGATTGTGACCAATGACCCAAGAAACCACCAATCCAAAAGAAGACAAAGACTCTGCATGTGGACTAACTAGCACGGGATGCAACTCTTTAACCAATAGAAAGTAGAATAGTGATTAATAAGAGAACTATGTAACTTGTAGCCAATGAACACTAACTCCTTTGTTTGCTAAAATGTATAGATACTAAAAGGTTTTGATAGACAGTGTGTTTGATTTATGGAATACCATGGAGCACCCAGGCTTGTGCAACTCTGAAATAAATAATCAATGTCTCTCTCAAGTGTTTAATTATTGGCTAGTTGCACACCGGTTTGGCAGACAAGATGACCTCACCAGTGGTCCTTCCAACCTTAACCATTCTCTGATCTTACTTTCCTCCTCTAAAATGAACAGATTTGAAGCAGAGAGACAGTCCAGGAGAGAAATACCACTTCTGCCTTTTTGCCGTACTTCACTTAACTATCAATCCTTGACTGAGAAATTGCAAAAGTAGTAATAGAAGCCACAAAGAAAAATTTATTCAGTTTACTGTGCTCAATTAAGTGCCTCCCAATGCTTCTGAGATCTAAACTATACATAACTTCTAAGTTAAGTTTCGCTAACAAGTTATCAGGTCTAAAAACCATTCACAAAGACCTTCACTGATAAGATATCCAAGTGAACTGGTTCAGAGCACAAGGAAGAAAGGAAAAAACTGTCTCTCTCTTAAGCAACTCATCTCCTGGATTCAGAAAAAGTCCTTTTTTTTTTTTTTTGGAAACCAACTGGCAGTCTCAGAAATACAGAGATAAAACAAGGTCCCCCTTTCAGAACCTTCTTGATTTTGCTGATAAATAGAATGCTGCCACAAAAGCAAAAGCAGACTGAAAATTAAAGTATTTTCTGCCTATTTCTAACTTAAAATCCTGCCAAGACAGCAATCTCTTATCTAGATTGCCATCTCACTGTCATAAAAGAAAGAGCTATCCAGATGAGAACAAAGTCTGCCCAAAGAAATAAAGCAGTACCAAAAGCTTCCAGATATTTTCACTACCTTCTAGACATAATAAATCACTACATCCAACCAATTAAAAACAAAAACAGAAAACCAAAACAAAAAAGCAAACAAAAAAAAACTATCTGGCCCACTTATAACTGAACTCTGATATTAATAATATGGCAGGGGGATGGAAGGGAAACAGATTCAGAAGGCAGTCAGTGGAAACCCTTTCCATCATTTCACTTACGGCTGAAGTGCAAAAAATTATCTTTTAGATTTTAATTTTTAAATCAGATAAAGTCTAGGTTCAGTCTCCTCAGAAAAACAACCTAATAGCTTAGGTTTGATCCCTAATGATCAAAACTTGACAAAAAATTTCAAGCCTCACAGAACAGCAGATACTACATTGCTTTTAATACTTAGACAACTCAAATGCAGACTTAGCTTAAATTTTCAGAATTTAAATAACCACAAGTTACATTCTCCTAAAATTAAGAGAATCAGAGGTTAGCAAACTCATGTTATCGAAAGTTTTTTTGCATAAAAATATCAAAAGACATGCAATTTTTTCTTTAAGTTCTGTCCTACTTCAGAAAATATAGCAACTCATTTTTTCTTTAGAATTGAAAGGACATAAATATATTTTTCTTCAACAAAAGTCTGATTGAAACCTTGTCAATGAAAACAGGCACAATTCAATAACTTGGAAAATAATTACTTACAAAAGAAAATCACCTTCATCTGTATCTTACCTTTAAATAGGATCCGTAATATTTAGTTACATATGGACTGTCACATTGACTCAGCACTGTGATTTCTTGTTGGATGTCTTCTATTTCATCTTCTGCTTCTTCTAGGTCAATAATTTTTATAGCAACAACTTTCTGAGTCCGATTGTCAATTCCTTTAAAAACTTCACCAAAAGAGCCCTTACCAATTTTCTCCAGTTTTGTAAACAGTTCTTCTGGATCTGCCTTCAGAGTCTGTAAAAAGTAAGAGAAAAGTTACTCAGTATTTGTAACACTAAAACAAAATGTGATATTCTGGAAGGAAACAAACACTTTAAATTCCATACATTCCTATTTATCTAGATACTTTTTTTCTATCTCCATAATTATCCCATTGTTCCTATATCCCTTATATGCACACACTGCAAGGTTTATGCTTCTGTGTATATGAAGTACAAATTTAATACTGTCATTATGTCAGGATTTTATCCTATCTGGCAACAGAAAGTGCTGCTCCTTCAATTTCTTCTTCTTTTCCAATAAAGGGCACCCAGAATGAAAGATCCTTACAAGGATTTGTTTTCTATTAAAAGCAAATTGATCAAACACCACTACTAATAAAGGTAAACCTTATGTCAAACCTTTTCTCTTGAAACTGATTCCTTCACAGATCCCAGTGTCCTTCTCTTTTGTATTTCTCACATATCTCATCCTCTTAAGGATTTCATTCACCCTGTTCAGTGCACAGAGTACTATTTCGTTTTGTTTGATGTGCCAAACAATCCTCTTCAATTGCCATGCTTCCTCCTTATCTCTGACCCCAAGGTTTTCTCAAGAAGGATTTATTTATCTTTTTCTTCTTTTCCCAGTTGTGTAAACTCATTCACTTCTAAAAAACATCCTGTTCCCAGCTTCCTTGATTTGAATAGTCACATAATAGCTATGAGCACTCACCTAAACATGCAAAAATAAGACCCAGGTGGACCACTCTGCCATATTTGCGTTTTCTCTACTGTCAAGTATTCAGTTCGATACTGATGCTCTTAGACTATTCACTTTCAATGCACAGATGATAAGTTCCATGGTATACCTTCTTAATCTTAGCACAAGGAGCCTTCTTAGCTGACAAAAAAATATATAAATTACAACCATAGAGGATTGGAAGGGTCCCTTTCAATCCAAACTATTCTATGATTAAACTGGAAAAGTCATAGATAGAGGGAATAGTCACGAAATGAAGAAAAATAGGATAGAATTACTTAGAATCTTTTCCTTAAGAAATAAAATTAATGCTTCAAAAACTTGTTATTGTTTATAAATGGTGACGTTAAGTGAAAATACACTGATACTACTGATATTCAGTTGTAGCAGTAAACCTGCATTATATGGGAAAACTGTGGTTTAAGCATGTTTTAAGGTGGCTTTTTTGTGGTCTCTGCTAACTCATGTTTCTTCTTCCCAAAATCCCCCATGGCCAGTTCTTATCTCTGTCTCAGGAATGTCCTGAGAAGATATCAAGAAGTCTTCTCATTGGTCTCTTGTTAACCCCTTCCTTATTTGGCTGTTCCCTGCCTGATTGGTGTTTTGTAAGACCCCTTACCTTACATGGTCCCTTTTGACCCTCCCAAGAGCTTTATAAACCCCTAACCACAATAAACTCTCTCTCTCGCCTCCTCTCCAAGTCCCGTGTGCTGTCTCTCTCCGGCTGCCATGGGACCACGTGGATGGGGGCAGGGGTGAGCACCTAACCCCTCCATGCATCCAGGACCCTGAAGAAACCCCTGGAGCTGGAGTAACCCCTTCCCCATCCACCTCAAGCCTTCGGAAATGGAACCCCACAATGGGAGGAATGCACCCAGATTCAGTAATGCCTAAATAAGCATAAACCACCATTTATACTTGGTCAAACTTCGTAGAAGCATAAGGAGGGGAATGACAATTTCTAGGTTACCACTGAGAAGCACTGAGCCAACATTTTCTTTAATAATTAAATTTGGCTTACGAAGCCTCTCCCACCTATACCTCTGCCTATCTCCACTCTCACGTCCCAAAGGTTATGTAATTAACCCATGCAGCCACGAGAGGAAAATAGTCTAGAACACATTTTAGTTTGTCTACATATATCTGAATTGCACAGCTGAATTAGGTGTTTTGAGGACCAGGCGAGCATTGTGTTTGTCACACGTGATTTTATCATCATGTGGCACAAACTGGCAGTACTCTACTACTTCTAATACTTTAAAGTATGCTATGAGACATCATATCTTCCAGGTAATCATCCCAGGAGCAGATCACTGGTGAGATAAGCCCAAAGAAAAAACACTCTAAGTGTACTGCAAGACTTCACCAGCCCTAAGAAGCTCTCCCTGCTTTACATCTTATTGATCCATAATTGTATCCAAAGTCAGTTTCAGGAAACAAACAGAAGGACATGGGGAGTTATCACTCTTTTGCCATTAAAAGGAAGAGCAAAAGATCCAAATCCCTTCCACCAAAAGAAGCTTGTTTCTCCTTTAATTTCGATTTAATGAAATTTACATATTATTACACACTATTAAATATTACATACATAATACGTCTCCCACTTGGAAACCAGATTAGGGCACTTCATGTTTTCCAGCAAGCGTAGTCATCCTTCAGCTAAACGGTAGCCCCTATCAACACCTCCTGGGACATAATTTCTAAGAGACCACAAAACTACTAACTAAATCATGCTGTACTGATTCTTCTCATGCCTCACAGAATGCTCTGTTGTCAATATTCAAACCAATCTTCTCTGAGAATTCTTCATGAATAAAAATAACTTTAACACCTGCACCAGATATTTTCCCCTGTGGAAAATCAATTATCAGTCTATGATTTCATACATACTGTGTTGGAATTTGAGATGATGTGCTGTAGAGAGCTGTGAATGCCTAACCCATCCTCACAAGCCTTCTAGTTCCATTCACTAGCCACAGGAATCCGGGTGTTACATCATTACAAAGACATCTGGGTAAGCCACAAACCACTCCCAGCCACAGATACCTAAAAAATTCCATGTTTCACCTCCAGAGACAAAAAGCCAGCACAGCTCAAAGCTGCAGTGTGTTGCAGTTGTTCATATAGAGAAAAATGGAAGGGCTACCTGCCACCAGCTCTTTGAATTCTGTTGGCTGTATGTATTCACCCCTTATTTTCCCTTTTCCCCTCAACCATCTACTGCAATCTTATATTAAAGCCCATTATTTCATGACACCACAACCTTCAGAGACTTGCAGAAATATCACAGATTCATTTTTACAGTGTCAAGCTCTTGGGATTCTGGTATTAGGCTGACAGTTTTATAAAACAATTGTAAAAGAACATTAATAACTCCAGAAAAGCAAGGAAGGTATCTGCTCCTGGAGGACTCAAGAAGCAAGGAACAACTGTTGCTGTTCAATTTTTATGGTTAAAATTTTGCAGTTGTTTGGAAATGTTAATTGTACAATAATACCTGGAATTAACAGGATTAAAATAATTATTAATAAGAGTTTCTTTTCCAAGTTCCTTGTGAAATTACTAAATATTTTTTAAAAACCTCAAACTTTTCCTTCCCACTTCAGAACTTTTGTAAATTCTTTTATTTGTTCTAATTTAACAGTTGCCATTCCTGAATTTTGTTCTGAGCAACAGAAGGTAGTAGTTGTTTAAAAAAACCAAACAAAACAACACACTCTTGCTCTCTAAGAAGGTCTCAATTTTCTTCTCAGGAGACCAAGTGTTTGAAGTGAGATCCTTAAAGCACTGGCAACTCGTGTTTTTGCAAAACTACCAGTTGGTCTCTCTTTAATGACCTTCTCTATTTCAAAAATGGAGAGACCAGGCCTCCGATACATAATGAACTGCTTGAATTTGAAGGTACATGAGTGGCCAATTCTCATTCATTTGTCCTAGATCACATCTGGAAAGGATTCTCCCCAAATTTATTTCTATTTGTTTTTGTAAATACTTACAGCAGAGCAAAAATAAACAAAGAGCTTTATAAATAGTCTCTCTACATGACTGCATAGAGAAAATGTCTTCCATAAATACTGTCACTACAGTTTTGCCGACTCTACTCTTTGCAAGTGTTCACTAAGCATGTAGCTTATTCCCGTCTATATTAAAATAAAGGGAACTGATAGAAGAGCCTTCAGGTAACTGAGAACACTAAATACTGCTGGAACATCTGCTGCAAAAGAGTAACGCTAACGACATTGATAAGGAGCTAGATCTCTATCACTAAAACATTTCCTTCCAAGTGGGACACAGAGTACACAGTGGCAAATCAAAAACAAATTCTGGAATGTTCAGATAGAATGATTTCAGAATTTACAATTTCCATAGACACTTGAATTAGTTCGCTTTTATATCGGATAGTTTTTCACACTTCTGAACACAAACTGCAACCATCCTGCCTCAATCTTCAGCTTGTTCAGCCACGCAGAACAAAGTCCTTTTCACCATGAGCAAAGCCACCATTCATCCAATAATTTGAGTAATCTCTCTGTACTTGTACCACATTGGATTCATTATTTTTGACCTTAATCAGCCAGAAAAACATACTGTATTTAAAATTAACTCTTCTCAGTACCTAACAACACTGTTGCCCACTTCCGCGGAATAAAAATAGTGCAATACATTCTCAGATCCTATTTGTTCAATTTGGCCTCATGGTTCAAACTCCACTGCAACCAACTAAAGCAAATCACCTCTTCCTAATTCTCTGCATTGCCAACTAATGAACTCCCAGCCCATTGCAAACGTTCTTTGTAATCTTTCATACTTATGGCAAGCTGCACTTCATGCTGTTTTGTTCAGTAATTCCAATCTTCAAGCTTGTGTAGTTGTTCAGTAATGGCCTCTCAAGTGAAACAGATGCCTTTAAATTTTGTACCATCAGCAATTTTAATCAGCATGCATTGCCTTTTTCTATGCTAAGGTCACTTTTCAGTCAGCAACTGTCAAGACCAATCCTCGAGAAACCAGCAGTACCCTCCACTCTGACACCACCTCTGCAGTACGCTCCTTGCAGCCAGGACTACACGTCTTGCAAAGTATTTATTTTTATGATTCCCTAATTCTCATCTGAACTAACTGCCCCTTATAGCTCAACAGAAAACGTTACTGAAATTCAAACTAGTTAGATCAAACTTTATCCATAACCATTTTGACCTAAGATATAGCTTTAACTGAGTATTTTTCTGCATCTCATTCTAATTTTATTTCTAACCTCCTTTTATGAAGGGCTA